AAGCTACGGAGTGCTACGGACGAATGTCAACCACACAAAAGCGGAAAAATAACGAACGGAGGTAGAGATGCGCGAGACGGAGAAAGCTAGGCTGCAGAGGGGGGCTAACTGTGAAGCTAAAGAGAGATCCCCAAAGACCATCGCTTCCATCAGTCCTGCTCTCCAACATCCGCTGGTTGGAAAACAAAATGGATAATCTCCGACTCGAACTCTCTTTAAAAAAGTCATTCTGACGGGGTCTTGGCTGCATCCAGCAATACCAGACAGTGCTGTTGGCCTGGGGGGGGCTGATGCTGTACCGCGCCGATAGAAACAAGAGCTCTACTTGAATTGAGGCTCCTCTGAGACTGTTCCCGGGCAATCTTCAACATCTAGAAGGGAAGCACAGCCCTCTGCAGGTGAAAATGAGGAAGACTCTAGATGCTTCCCTACCAAATGCTGAAACATCTCCAGCCGGCTCCTCTCGGCCCCCTCCGGCTTCCACACCTTCTAAAGCATTGTCTGTCGCTGCTAAACCTGCCGATGGCACCACTGCTGCTTCAACCATGTAAGCCTCTTCAACCCAGTGGGCTACCACCCTCACAGCATCGTCCTCTTCCTCCCCTGAGCCAGGAGAAGTGGGTGCTTCAGGAGCTGGAGGCAGTAGTAGCAGCTCAACAACCACTGATGGGGTGAAGCCCAGGCAATGGGCTCCTAAAGCTCCAGCATCAGATCCTCTTCCACCAGGGCCATTTGGATGCTAAGATCCTATCCAGATCCATGTGACATCACTGCTGCCAAGCAAACATTAATGATGTGCATTCCATAACTATATAACGATCCATAACGATATAGTGACTTAATATCACTATGTTTTTTTTTTTCATCACTACTGCTTACCTTATTAAGCCTGCACTTAAAAAAAATTGAATTGTCTAGAGAGCTGTTCTAAACAAAATTTCTTATGGTTTACACTTGTGTATACAAAATGACAAAATTAATCTGTCTAAGTCTAAGATGACACAAAAATAGAACTTGTAGTTCATTATTCCACTAACCATGTTTGGAGGAAGAAGAATAATGAGTACCATCCCAAGAACACCATCCCTACTGTGAAGCATAGAGGTGGTAGCATCATGCTATGGGGTGTTTTTTTGCACAGGGTGATTTCACTGTATTAGATACAGGATGACTAGGCCACGTATTGCTAGATTTTGGGGAACAACCTCCTTCCCACAGGGCATTGAAGATGGGTCGATGCTGGGTCTTCCAACATGACACTGACCCGAAGCGCACGGCCAGGATAACCAAGGAGTGGCTTTGTGAGAAGCATATCAAGGTTCTGGCGTGACCTAGCCAGTCTCCAGACCTAAAAGCAATAGAGAATCTTTGGAGTGAGCTCAAACTCCATGTTTCTCAGCAACAGCACAGAAACCTGACTGATCTAAAGATCTGTGTGGAGGAGTGGGCCAAAATCCCTCCTGCAATGTGTGCAAACCTGGTGAAAAACAAGAAATGTTTGACCTCTGTTTTTTTTTTTTTTTTATTTAACCTTTATTTAACCAGGAAAGTCCCATTGAGTTAAAGTAACTCTTCTTCCAGGGAGTCCTGTAATTGCAAACAAAGGCTACTGTACCAAATATTAACATTGATTTTCTCAGGTGATCAAATACTTATCTGCAGCTGTATCATACAAATAAATAGTAAAAAAAAAAAAAAATCACACATTGCGATTTCTAGATTTTTATTTTATTTTAGACTATGTCTCTCACAGGGGACATGCACCTACGATGACAAATTTAGACCCCTCCATGATTTCTACATAGGAGAATTTGCAAAATAGTTGGGTGGTAAAATACTTATTTTCCTCACTGGATGTCTAAAAAGTGACCATTAGCTTGACCCCCAAGGTTATCTAACTCATGCCTTTTAATTTAATATAACGTTCCACACTCTCCTTTTACTTCCCCAGTGTTACATGCAGTGGTGAGCGCAGTTGGTTTTAGTGACCCATCCTCAGTTAAGTGAAATGCAGCAAAACCAGACACTGAAAAAATAACAAGTCAAAACTAACAGATAACCAATAAGATGACTGTCACTCTGTCAGAGTCTTCAGAAAAGCATGACAATCCTCCTGCTAATGTAAGACGTACACATGCAGAGTTGCTTGTTTGATGGAATAGCTGTTTTCATTCAGGATAATCTAATGAATAAAAAAAAAACGACATTTACGCAACATTACGCAAGCCTTTAGGATACTTTAACATTTTGTGCCCTGCATTTTAAAGAAAATGGTATGAGTAGGTGCTGGAAGCCAGGAGGAAGGAGGTACAAACCTGAGTGTTCCTGGAGCTGCTTTTCCCCCTCTACCATCAGACTCTTTCACAAACATCTGCAATAATCATGACTTTTTCTGCTTGTTGCAGTAATAGCAATAAAATACAAATGTGCACAACTGTCCACTAAATGCATATTCATAGACATGGTTGATTGTTATCTCTGTGCTTGATTCTGCAGAACTAAAGGAGACGGTCTTTCCATTTCCACTTACTATCAATGGAACTTGTGTGATGAGGGATCAATCACTTACCCTCTTGCAGCCTTTAGACTGTCAAGCATGTAAACGTAGTTGTGCACAAATGGGATCCTGAAAGTTTCAAAATATTCAACTTTTCTCAGAGTCGATATGCAATACAACCAATCAGTGACGAGTTCTTGAATAACAATGAGAACAGATTGCTTTACAGACTGCAGTCTATCGCTCCTTATAACATGACATAAAATCAAATCTTCTGGATTATCTATTTTACAGCACATGACTCTTCATACAGTGATTATTGAGATGCACCTTAAAATGGAAGTAAAGGCTATGGATTTATCTGGATCAGTGTTTGTCCATCATCATGTGATTATCTTCTAATTGCTTATTCTTTGTCTGTATTATAGAATAACCCAAGTTTGCTGGGTTTTTTTAACAGCTGTAAGTCTGTTTTGATTTTGGTAGACTTAACAGCATGATTTCAGTCAGTTCTAGCTAAGTCTTCATCCTCAATGTCTTGTCTATTTGTTCAAAAAACAGTTCAGGAATAAAGACGGGTACAATTAAGAACCTCTACTGAATAATCATGTCTAAATAATTCAATCTTCGTACAAGAGGAAGCTTTGACCACCTTACCATATCCAATTAGCCCTTGTTTAATGCCTCAGTAAAATTTTCATTAAACAAGCAATTGTTATTATGTTGCACAAAAACGTAAATATTCAAAGCTTTCTTATTAATTAGGAAAAATACACTTTTGGAAAGATTTATTCTGTAGTCAGATGCTTGCCTGAATTTTAAATAGGTTTTGAGCAATTGAGATTGTAATTGTGGGCTTTAAAAGATAAAAGGAGATTGTTGCGATTGGGGATGAATCAAGCTGATAATCGGATTGGATATCAGCTTCAAAGGACCTGGATCGGATATGAGATGACTCACACCGATCCATTGTTCTGATCCACTCATTTATATTGCTATTGATGTCATACACAGCAATACAGTGACTTCTGTTTTATGAATACAGTGCTTACATCACGGACCTCAGCACGCTAGTGATTAAATATAACTGTGGTCATTTGTCACCACTTTTTAACAATGTTGATGTAAAGTAGGATGTCTACTCCCATGGCAAACATTTTATTCATTCAACAATAGTATCAGATTGGATCAGAAAACATTTTTCAGTGCATCTCTAGTTGTGATAATTGATGGGGTCAGATCACCCATATAGAGGAGGGTCAATTAGAACTTTATACTTATTGATATGGTGCCATTTTTGCTCTAAATGTGTTTGGGGAAAGCTCTACAGCATAATTTGTGGGTAGTGCTATATAAAAGACTGTCATCAGCATATAAATGTGCCTTGAAAGTATTATGTCCCTTTGTTGAATCATCAATTTTTTTTTTAAATACTTCAAATAGAGAATAGAAAGAGTCCAAAGAACCGCGGTGAGAAAGGAGAACTTCAATGACTGTCTGAAACCGTAGCTCACCACACATAGTAGAGCGTATTTCAACGTTAACATGTCACCAGAATGATTCACAATAAGGAGGACCACTTATTTAGATGATCCAACTGGAAATAAAAGATGATTCTTCCGACCTGAAGGCCATTAATACTCGACAAACTATTCTGGGTCTTGTTATGAAGAAGCGGCAAGAAAAAACAACAACCATTGCAGACGATGATGAGGAGAGCAGTATTTATGTTTAACCATCTTGAAAAGATTGTCTTTATGCTTGGGAAAGATCGCTAGATACGCTCGGGCACTGCCATCCATGTTTACTTCGGGAAACACAGCCTGTGATGTCATTGTGTACTCTGTTGCGCATGTGGGACACTTAAGCTGTATGAATGCAGTTCACAAAGGAGATCACATACAAGTCGCTTATATTTGGAAATGTGAACGGCAACACACACAAAAAAAAATGGATTTCACAAAAAAATCTGAATTGAGCATCTAGGCCTGCAATGTGAACGTAGCCTTAGACTTAGATTTATTTTTTCGTTTTGTATACACGAATGTAAAGAAATTTCGTTTAAAATATTCTCTCTATAGCTTTAAGGCAGTGTGAAGAGTGCTGATATTTCACAGTACTGTAATACTAACATTAAAGAGTTAGGGCTAAGCTAAGAGTTAAGACTATATGGTCTAAGCAAAAGCTTAAAGCCACTGGAGTATTTGTAAACCAGAATCTCATTGTTGACAAGCATTTGCCAGAGTGAGATGGTAAACAGGAAATGTCCAGATGCTGTTCTTGCAGTTAAAAGCCAATTTCTTCCCACTTTTGCTTGCTTATGAAACAAAAAAAATTATACAAATGGCCAGCTGTGGGTTGACAGCGTTTCCCGGCCAAACAGTCAAAACCGATTTGCCTTTTTCGGTGACACACCCCCCCATACACACATTTCCTTTTTATATACAGTAGATTTAGTACATATTGGCTTCTACAAATACTAAATAAAACAAACAGACACCAGTATCAGTCCAACAAAAAAAGGAGGAAATCTTTATTTTAAACCATTTAAATGTCTCAAAGTTCCACAATCTTGGATCAAACAAAGAGGACATTTGCTAAAGAAAAGTAGGCAACTACAAAGACCACAAGGCAAGGCAAGGCAAGGGAAGCTCAGTTTCACAGTAGAGATTTCAGATGACCTCCATCTGTTAAAAGGAAGAAAAAAATCTGGCCCACTTGTGCTGACGAGTTTTACTGGATAGGTTTTAAATTTTCAACAGCAGCTGACATTCTTCTGGTTTATGCTAATTGGCTGCCGGTGAGCAGCTTTTATCTACAGTATAAGCAGAGACTTCTGTTTCCAATCTCTATAATAGGAAAGTACATGATATAACTGGCCTTATAATTTCCACAGTGATACTTTAAAGTTTTATATCCAAATTCAAAAGGGAAAGGTACAATTCTCTAAATATTTTAAACCGGTCAGACAAAACTGTGCTAGAAAATGTTCATCTGTGGTATTTTGGGGGAAAAAATAACTAAATTATTTCCGGGGCAACAAATGTTTTTCAAAGCAATAAAGCTGATCTCAAAGTGAAACCAATTCATTTTCCATAAAAAATAAAGCAACATTTAAAGTAAGTAACATATAAAAGATGAAGCATAACCTGCAAAGGATTGAACCTTATTCACAAATTTTAGTCACAGAAATATGAAAAAAAGATCAACACTCTGGAGTCCTTTTAAAAACAGGATGTTACAAAAAAAAAAAAAAAAAGGTCCTCATGTTTCTTATGCTTAGTGTGCATGTCACAGCATTGGGATGTAAACTTCCACCTGCCAGGCAATTTGTATAAAGGAACCAGTGATGGAGGAAAGAAAGAAACATGCCAACAGACAGCTGCTGTCTATTTGAGGAATAAGAGTTGTTAGCAGAGCCACAGGAGTCATTGATGCATGTTATGGCTTTTGCTTGACAGGCAGAACCCATCTATACAAGATGTTTTCAGTAGGTTGGTCATTTTTGGGTGGTAATGGATTTGAAAGAAAAGGAAAAAAAAAATTGCACGTATTTTTGGCATCATAGAGAGGGATACAAATTACCATTCAGGATCTTCTTGTCAACTTGCAACCCAAATGGACAGGTGGCTGACAGAAAAATAGGCCGAAATGCAAGACTGTCTCGGCACTTTGCAGCCGTTCAACAAAAAGAAATGTTTTTCAGGCAATGTCATCCATTGCAAAGAGCACATTACTTCTATGGCAGATTCCTCCTCCTTGGGCACTTCTTGTTTCTTTCTACAAACAATAACAACATCTTCAGTTTACAATCCCTTTCAAAAGTATCAATACCCCTTGAACTGTGAGCTGACAGGATTTTTTTTCTCTTTTTTTACTGAAATAACATTGCGTACAAAAAGGTTGTTTGTCCGTTTGGAATGGAGGAAAATTGTCTGATTTTTTTTTTTTTATTTAAAAAATGTGCACTATTATTCCTAATTAGGAAAAAATAGGTCACCCCTATTAGTAAATAGAGGGCTTAGGTCCTAAAACCACATCCCAGGCTTTCAACACCTCATGAAGGAGTATAGAGGGTAGAGTTGTCTAACTAACCTGACCTAACATGACAGGCAAAGAAGGCATTAATTATAGAGACAGACAATCAGCCCTCGGCTGCTTTGGGGGAGCTGCAATGATCCTGCTGCTCAGTTCAGAGAATTTATTCTCAGAACAACTATTAACTCTACTACAAATCTTGTCTTACAGTAACAAAATAGGGTGAGGATTGTTAAACTGCTTTTTAAAAGGCCGAAATAATTTCCCATGTTGAGCTGGTTTTCATTTATCCATGTCCCAGAATGATCTGTTTTTGACAAATGTGAAATATTTCAAGACATACAAATACTTACATAAAAAAGGGCTGTAGACTGATGGACTGAGGCAAAGATTTCGGTGTAATCGTTTACTATGAAATTTTAAAGACAGGTTGCATGAGTTTCAAATCTGATAAGGATTTTATCATAAAGCAGGAAAAACAAAACACCTTTTGAAAAGACAAACATCTTTTAGTGGTTTCGAATGATGTAACAATATCAGACCAAGTGAAACCCATCACTTGGTTGAATATCAATAAATAAGGTGGTATGTTCACAGCCATCCCTTCTCTTATATTTTGTCGATATTCTGTAACTGAATAGGCTGTTATTTTTAACTCAGAAGCTTCTGGCAGCCAATCCAACGCACCGATACAAAGAACTGAAAGGTAGAAGTTGAGTCGGTGCTGGAGGGGCTTAGTGAGATGAAAAACAAAGGAGCAAAGTAGCATCACAAACGTATGTCTTTGAGTTTCATGTCACTGCAGCTGACTAAGCCAATCATCCTCCATCCGCTGTTTGCCCCTGCATTAATCAGTTTTCTTCTCTTTCAGATCCTTTTCTCCAACATCCTCCTCTTCTTCAGGGCCTTTCAGCTCAGCAGCTTGTAGCTGCTCCTCTTCCTCCTCATCTTCTTCCTCCTCATCAGTGAAGCCCTCCCTTTTTTCGTCCAAGCTGTCATCCGATTCTGCCGTGCAGATGCCGTAGCACATCAGGCTGATAACGCCGAGCGGGAGGCCGAACAGGAAGCAACCCAGTAGAGGAGAGCTGCGGAAAACTGACTGATGTTGGGGGGAAAAACAGAAGCGACGTAACAAGGGAAAAAATGGGGAAGAGGGGAGGGAAGGACAAAGCAAAAAGAACATGGAAAGGAAGGAAGATTAATAACTTGATACCCCAGTATTCTACTTAAATGAGCACAAACTTAGCAGCTGTAAAAGTAATTAATCATCTGCATAAATTAACATTCACTAAGATTCCTTTCTTTGTTAAACCCAGTTCTTTCTTGTCTTAATGAAGTTTGGATTTCCATCAAAGCTAAAGGCTCTCCTGTGGGGTCCAAGATCTCCGAGCAGATTCTGTTTATAACAAATATGCTGTTTAATGACCCCTTTGATGATAATTTACACTCTCAGACTAACTTAACAAGAGGCTGTAGAGTCTTAGATCTACACTGCGGTTATGTAAAAAGTACGTTTCCTTCTCTTTAATTACCTTGAACATATGATGATAATAAATACATTTACCCAGCGTTAAAAAATATAACTGTGTGTCTGAAATCACCACAATTGTAAAACCACCAGCTCAGCACTTTGTTTGGGGCCTCATATGTAATCAATCATCAAATGAGCTTCCTAATCTACAAAGAACCATTCTACACTGAAACCATGTTAATTCGTCCATGCTGTTTGTATCCATCCTCAACCAAATTGAACTTCAATCCAAAGGAGGGATGTTTTTCTAATTATTCTCTGCATAATTTCTTAATTAAAAAAGAGCCAATATTGATTTTACAGTAATTAGCTCCATGTTTGTATTCTTGACTGCTGCACGGTGAAAACTAATTTCACATTTGCTAAGGATCATGGACAAACCTCAAACATGGGTGGAGAGTTGTCCACTTGTAAAATCAGATATTCAAAAATGAAGATATGCAACCTAAACTGCAAAAATAATTTCTTAAAATAAGTGCATTTTTTCTTGAATTAAGGAGGTAAAGGAGACTTTGTCAATGGTATAAAACATTCAACGTTTAAAAAAAATTAGCCCTGTCTTATTTCAAGTGCATAATATCAAATTATCTTATTTTAAGAGTAAAAATATTAATTCCATTAGCAAATGGCAGATTTACCTATTCAAAAAAAGGGTAAATCAACTTATAAGAAATCTTTACCTATTTCTAGTTGGTTTTCACAATGTATGCAAAGTGACTACCTAAAGAATGCTCTTCCCCTTCAAAAGAAAGATTTTGATCACCTATAGGGGGCCAGTCTGGCGCCTCAATAAAGAGTTGACGCAAGCCCCAGATATCCAAAGGCAGCAAAGATCACTAGGACGGCAGACATAGGGATGGCTGGACCCCACCCCGGAGGCCGACCCCCAGAGGGGCCGAACCCCAAATGGGCCATGTCCCTGAGGGCCAGGCAAACACTCAACCTGACAGGTAGACAACGACAAATTCACATTCATCCACTCACATTTGATCTCACGCTTAAACCCATATGGACACATATACAAGCACTCAACTGAGACACACATTGGGGCAGACCCTAAACATATTCCTATACTCCTCATCCATCCTCCTGGGTCTAAAGTAAGTAAATAATTTCCATTTGATAAATACCACAATGATGTTTTTTTGTTAGGATTTTTTAAATTATTACCTGCAATTTAGAGGTTTACTAGTCTAACCCCTTAAAGCTGATTTATACTCAGAGACCAGGTCTTGAGGAAAATGTAAGCAAGAATAACTTTCAGTCAAACTTGAAGCTGTGGATTAAGGAGCAAGAGGTTGCTTCTCAGTTGGCACCAACTGATACCATGACGATGTGGACCGAAAAGGTCTATTTAAATTTTCTCTAAATGCTGACATTCAGTCATCACATTTTTTAAATCAAATGTAAATATGGCTTCTGTTTATTTAAATCATTATTACATTATAAAATAATGTTGGTTCCAGTAGTCTCAGATCATTGCTGGCTGTAGTGGTTATTTGGGTTGTTGCTCAACACAAATTTATTTTTATTTTCTGGGTAACAGTACGGGACAGACGGATGAAACTAAGTGGGTGCCTGAAGAGGACAATAATCTCTGACACACATTAAAATTGGTTTTATATGGCTAAATCAGACTGACACTGAGCTTCTGGAGTGCACCCAACCTTAACTCACTTAAGCGAACATGTTGGCTCTACGCCATAAATCCAACTATTTTGACTAAACTGGACAACTTTAAAGGGAAACTGGTCCAGTTTACAGTACGAACTTTGCTAAAAATCTTGCTATGGCTAGAAAAACATGTGTTAAAAGCTAAACTTGTAGATTAACCATAATAATAGTAGGGTAATGGGTACATCGGAGCCTGAAAGTACAATCTGAACAAATGAAAACACAAAACTAAGTCAGCTTGTGTAGAATTGGTGTAATGCATCACATTCTTTATTTTCTGGTTTAAATGAAGCTGCAAAGCTGTTCCACACATTCACTGTCTATGATAGGTGTTTAAAAAAGAAGCAGGATGCAAGCAAAAGTCAGATGAGATGGAGGTCAAGAGGACACATCAGCTTAACTTTGATCTGTAGTTTCATCTGAACCAGTCAAGTTCTGCGCTTTACTTCTCAACTCCCTCTTACACATAAAAAGCGCATTCTAATAATTTATCAGTCGGGTGTGTTTGAGATGTTCTGGAGTACGTCACTTTTTAATAAAACCATCAAACTGCTCTCAACAGACGCTATTTACAGATCAAAACATGATCTGAAAGCACACTGTTATTCATTTATTCATTTTCACTGCACCACTGGGTTTTGTGTGTTTATCAGGCAGATCACAAATGATTTGCAGAAACTAATGCAGGCTGCAGCTCTTTCAGCCTTAATTAATTTTGTTCTTATCATTTTAGTTCTTGGGGTTTTGTTTTATTATTTAGTTTTTGGGGTCTGATTATTAAACATTTGTTCAGGTGTCAGTTTTTTGTTTTTTGTGTAGAGTTGGGCGTAGGATTAATGCCTAGTTTTATACATTCTTTTAAGGTGATACAACAATTATTGCAGATTAACCGAAAAAAATATTAATAGGATAAAAGATATATCCAAGCCTGAAAGTACAGTTATAATGAATAAAAATACAAAACTATATGAGGTGCCCAGGGACATAAATCAGAATTACTTCCATATACACATATTAAATTAAACTCTTCCATATAATATACTGAAAGACGTGCATAAACACTAATGAAAAGCTAAAGCTCTCACATTAACTAGTGAAAAAATGTACCTCTTATATAGGGATGGGAATCGAAAACCGGTTCCTGTTCAGAACCGGTTCCGTATTTTTCGATTCCATGGCATCGTTTGGCAGCTCGCTGAATGATTCTTTTTTCGATTCCCGCAGCACCAGAGCCGAGAGCGCCGGCTCTGGGGAGCACGACTTACGTCACGTTTTTTACGTAAGTTACGCAACTTACGCAAGTTACGCAAGTTACGCAAGTTGGAAGAACTATTCGAGGAGGAAGACAACGTGCTGCGGTCACTTTGTGAATCAAAGCCCCGTCTTTCCTTAGCCCAGAGGGTAGATCAGGAAATCCAGCTCTATAAAAGCTTGCCCTCCATCCCCTGCAGGGATAGCGCCACACTGTGGTGGTGGAACAAGCAAGATACGCTGCCCTTGCTATCTGGACTGGCTGAAAACTACCTCTGTGTGCAGGCTTCCTCCACCCCATCTGAGAGGGTGTTCTCCACGGCTGGAGACACCATAAGCGCTGAAAGATCCCGTATCCTTCCAGAAAAAGCAGATATGCTCATCTTTCTGCAAAAGAACTGTTAATTTTCCCTACTACTGTTTTATAATTAGTATTTTTTGTTATTTAAAATAGGTTATTATCCCATCATTTGTTATTAGACATTGTTGGTTATTAAGTTTGTTCTTGTATTCATTTTTCATTTAAACACAGATGTTACTCCAGTTTCACATTTCCTGTGGACATCTTGATCTTTTTGAGTTTGTAAGATTGTGCAATAGTTAAGTAAACAAAGTTGATTCTGATAATCAAACTGTTTGTTCTCCTTTTTCCCCCAAATTGGAATCGAAAAAAGAATCGATTAAGAATCGAATCGTTTCATAGAATCGAAAAGGGAATCGGAATCGTGAAAATCTTTTCAATTCCCAACCCTACTCTTATATAACCTACTGAAAATCTCACACAGACACTAGTGAAAAGCTCTCAAACTCGTGAAAACATTTACCTCTTATATAACCAACTAAAAAGCTCTCATACAAAGTAGTGAGAACTGTTCATATAAACTGGTGAAAAGCTTTACCTTTCATACACACTACTGAAAAGCTTTCATACACACTACTGAAAGCTTTCATACACACTACTGAGAAGCTTTCATATACACTACTGAAAAGCTTTCATATACACTACTGAAAAGCTTTTATACACACTACTGAAAAGCTTTCATACACACTACTGAAAGCTTTCATACACACTACTGAGAAGCTTTCATATACACTACTGAAAAGCTTTCATATACACTACTGAAAAGCTTTTATACACACTACTGAAAAGCTTTTATACACACTACTGAAAAGCTTTCATACACACTACTGAAAGCTTTCATACACACTACTGAGAAGCTTTCATATACACTACTGAAAAGCTTTCATATACACTACTGAAAAGCTTTCATATACACTACTGAAAAGCTTTTATACACACTACTGAAAAGCTTTTATACACACTACTGAAAAGCTTTTATACACACTACAGAGAAGCTTTCATATACACTACTGAAAAGCTTTCATGCACACTACTGAAAAGCTTTCATGCACACTACTGAAAAGCTTTCATGCACACTACTGAAAAGCTTTCATGCACACTACTGAAAAGCTTTCATGCACACTACTGAGAAGCTTTCATATACACTACTGAAAAGCTTTCATGCACACTACTGAGAAGCTTTCATATACACTACTGAAAAGCTTTCATGCACACTACTGAAAAGCTTTCATGCACACTACTGAAAAGCTTTCATGCACACTACTGAAAAGCTTTCATGCACACTACTGAAAAGCTTTCACACACACTACTGAAAAACTTTCATGCACACTACTGAAAAGCTTTCACACACACTACTGAAAAGCTTTCATGCACACTACTGAAAAGCTTTCACACACACTACTGAAAAACTTTCATACACACTACTGAAAAGCTATTTATGGATTTAAGTGGAAACGGAGGGCATTTATATTATAAGGTACATTGTTAGATGTAATATCTGCAAAAATATTTGCAAATAGCTGGTGCACAGTATTTATATTGTAAAACACTGTGCACTACATAATTTTTTTTAACGGTCACTTATTCAGTTATATTTATACACTTTTTAGGTCCACATTTTTAGGACCACTTTTGCTATAATCTTTGCTGCTGTAACACCACAATTCCCGCAGTATGGACCAATAAAGGGATTTCTTATTCTATTCTATATCATTCCAGTGTAGCTTTGATTATCAATATATTTGACCACCCTAGCTAATGCTAGTGGTAAGTTACTCCTCTACAATAAACAGATGTTTTGGAAATTGGGGGGATTGATACCTTTGACATAATTAGGTTTAAGAAAATCTTTAACCTTAAGAAGGTATTACTCCAGAATTGAGGTTTTGGAGTCCCGTATTAATCTGTGGGGGGACCAAAAAATTAGGGGGTTGGCACAGAGGATTTACAGCCTAAAGATCACTCATTGTCAAATAATTAAAATATCAGTGGAAACATGATGAATGCTGGTCAACTTAAATGCAGGAATTTACATGAACCAATTAGGCTTAACATTGCACTTGCTTCTTTTCTTAATTACATGTAAAATAAAAATTTAAACTTTATGTAAAATTGATCATATATTTTTGAAGAATGCTGGGCTGAACTGTATATCTGCATGTTTTTGTGTCCCATGGGATAACTTAAGCACACTTCATGCCTAAGTGAAATTATACCCTACTTTTGTTTAATTGGAACACCCTGCATATTATAATTTGCAACTCTAAATAGGGTCATGACTTAAAATCTCTGCAGATCTCTACACGATAAGATATCTTCTCCTTGCCCCTAATTAAAGCATTTCTCTATATTCTAAGCTCACTCTCTTCCCTTTGATGCATTTTGTCTAGTTCCATACTAATGCAGTCAAGTGAAATTTCTTCCTTCCAACTGAAACAGCAGCACAGAGGTCAGCTGGCAAGAGTTTTAGGTCTGTTTCTAAATATGTCATGTGACGACAATATTACTGATATAACAAATGTCTGGAAGGCAGCATTTGGTGAAGGATTATGACTACACATGAGAATTGGGAAGGAAATAATTCAGGTTTCCTCCGGTTATGACCCAGGGAAAAGTGCTGGCAATTTGACAGAGCAATGAGACAGTAGATGAGGTAAGGATTGGTTACATTATGCTAACTCTTCTGGATATGACTCACTGCACCTAATGTTGTTGCTTCCTCATGATCCTGTCAGAGATCCATTTAGGAGAGCTCTCTGGCGTCAGTGTGATGTCTATTAACCATTTCTGGTCTATTCTGGTCATTCTGATGCTCACAGCTCACTTATTTAGAGAGATATCAGTAGGTTAAGATTCATTTATTCCCTTTTCTTCTCAACTCAAGCCTTTCACTCATATTACTACCGTGTTGCTCATAAGGAAAGCCAAAAAGAGTTGTTACATACTCTATCCATAAGAACTACAAAAACACATAATTGTATTCTCATAATAGTAGATTTTCCCCAATCAGCCCCGTTCTGACCCTGGTCCAACTAATTTAAACTTCACAACCCTTCTAAAATAAATAACATTAATGCTAAGCAATATATAATACAGATAACCAAGGACATAAGATCTACTAGCAGCTCAGGAAGTCACAGAGCCCCATTGAATAAATTAAACTTCATCTTTTAATCTATTTATTCAACCTTTAATGGATATATGTAAATTAAAAGAAATAATTGAACTCCGGAAATAACTTCATGAACTCAAAACAACACAATAATTTATTGAAAGGACATACATTTTAATTATAAATAGACTTGATTGTTGAAGCACCAATGTCAGCTAAATAATTGCACTTAGCCTCTATAATGACCTTGAATATTTTGGTTTTTTTACACCTCAATCTATCATTTTATCTACAATAAGGAGTCTTTAAATAAACTGTCATTTATAATTTTCCTTGTCAACAGTTCAGTCACTATTTCCCTCCAATCCCTTTAAGGAAGAAAGGTACATATCAGTCAACATATACAAGCTTATAGGCTGCAGAAGCGGTCTGCACCAAATCAAGTCCTCTTTTGCATGAATTCCTACATCAGTACAATGAGGCACTGAGTTAATCAGCCTGGAGCTCTGCTGAGGTGTTCAGCAAGCCCACCTTGCTTTAATAGCAGCCAGAGGCTCATCTGCATTATTGGTTCTGGTGTCTGTTTTCTTCATCTTGACAAAACTCCTTAGACTCTCTATGGGGTTCAGGTCAGGCAGGTTTTCTGGCCAATCAAGCCCAGAAACACCAGGTAATAGGACTCTTGGCAATAAGGGCAGGAGCAAAGTCCTGCTGGGAAATAAAATCAGCATCTCCATAAAGCTCATCCGCAGAGGGGAAAATGACATCTTCTAAAATGTCCTGGTAGACCCCAGTTAGAAGTTTAACTTTTTTGAATCTGACGGCATAAAATTCATGTTAGGCCCAAAGCTGCTTGGAGTATGTTCTTCCCAACTCATTCTACAAAATATGTGCCAAAGATTTATGAATGAAATTCTAAATTTTAGTTTTATTTATAAAGTTTTATTCTCTTCAGCCCATTTAAGACAATGAATTGTCTCTAGTTTATGGGGAAGGAAATGGGGAATGAGTAAATTGCTGCCTGAATCCAATAATCTGTACAGAACCAACAGGATCTCAGCTTCCCACACATCTGCTTTTTGAACATTTTTTTAATTCCTATCTAACTTTAAGAAAAACATGTATTAATATTGTTTGACCTAGAGGACATAAAACAAAGTTAAAGGTCCAGTTTTGTTTACTGAATCTTACCAGAATGTTCTTCATTTTATAGTCTGCTTATACAATTGCAGCTGAAAGCAGCAAGAACTTTAATCCATGCTTAAGTATAAGTGTGTGGACTGTAAAGCATTACAACACAGCTGTGTATACATTCCTCTCACACCCTTGGTGGGAAAAAAAAACCCCATCATTCCCAAAAAGCCAACAACTAATGGCAAATGTGGGAGGAGAAGCAAGTCCCGCCTCCTGTGCCCTTTTTCTCCCCCTGCAAATCTGACTCTTCTGTGTGTTTTTGCCATCGTACAGTGTTTTTTTTTCCTATTCTCTATATTCTCTACATAATAGCTACACTGCTTACATTTACACAGACAAGGGAACGTACAGAAGGTAGCACTGCAAGGGAAGAGTTATCCTTTAGAAATAACCCTGCTTTGACTTTGTCTCTCTCTAGACCAAACAGCAGATATCTTAAATCAAAACAGGTTAGAATACAAAGAATGTCAAATAGATGGTTTATGAATCAATTTTTAGACTAATGCATGAGAGGAAAAATTTTTATGAAAAATGTTCTTGCAAAGGGAGACTGTTTTGTCACTCTAATAAACAATAAAGTATGAGTCTGAAATGATGCAAAAAGCCTTTCCAAGATCGAAGCATCTATAAACAAAAAAAAAAACTTAAATTATTCTATACTAACGGTTTGAAAAAGCCGTGCCTTAGAGGCATTTAATTACAAAACTGAAGCCATGGAGGGGAAAAAAAAGCAGAAATCACTATTTCGCCTATTCTACCTTAAGGGTTTATTGTTGATCCCAGATTACTTCACTCATTCTTTTCCTAGGAGAAGCAATAGTAATCACAGCTGCTCTGTGATTAGGAAGTTATCCCCGATTCTCATCATGCAGGAGCCTGAACAGAACAGCAACTTACCATGATGGTGGACCTGGCATCAAAGGCCACGCGTTTGATCCGCTGCATGAAGCCATCACCCCCATACGCCTGCAGGAAAAGGACGTTACTGCAGTCTTAGATTTAAAAGCATAATATTTGGTTTATTAGGCTACGTTCACACTGCAGGCCTTAATGCTCAATTCGGATTTTTTTTTTTGTGAAATCCGATTTATTTTGCATTGCCGTTCACATTTCCAAATATATGCGATTTGTATGTGATCGCCTTTGTGAACTGCATTCATACAACGCAAATGTCCCGCATTCACAGTGGAGGACACAATGGCGTCACAAGCAAGCGTTCTCTGTGTTTATGGAAGTAAACATGGGTGGTAGTGCTGGAGCGCATCTAGCGACCCTTCCAAACTTTAAACATTCAATCTTTTCAATAAGTTTAATCATAAACACTGCTCTCCGCATTATCATCAGCCATTGTTGTTGTTCTGCGTAGAAAGAAGCAGAATAGTGACCTTTTTTGAGTATTAATGATTTTCAGGTTGGATGAATGCAACCTGGCTGTTCAGACACAGGTCGCATTTGAAAAGATCAGATTCATATCTGATTCATAGCCAGGTGGCCTAGATCGCATTGGAAAAAATCCGATCTGTTGTTCAGGCTGGCATGAAAAGATCAGATTCAGCTCTTATATGGGCAAAAACAAAAATCGGATTTGGGTCACTTCAGTCTGCAGTGTGAACGTAGCCTTAGAGCGTTTGGTGAACGGTATAACATACTGTGCTATGTGGGTGGATTGATGGGTAGTCTAGTGAATGAGATCAGTAGTAGAGTTTGGGATGTTTATATACCCAACCAGTCCTACAAAATACCTAATATAACAATTTCTACAATTTTCCAGACACTATTAGACTTTATTCAACTCACTTTCATATTTAAATAATTTTGCTAAGAATGTGCATCCATCTCTAGTTTTTGTCCCATGTTTCAGCTGTGCTCCATCTGAATCCATTTTGTCAGTTAAAGCATCTGGGCCTGATGTGTGCCGAAGCTTATTCATCAGGATGTCCAGTTAATTAGCTCTGCCCAAACAGGACCTCTGCAAATTAGCTAGAAGAGGGCATGAGGCTCATTTCTCAGGTAGCAGCTGTTGCACTGTACGCTTGTGGCACACGAAAACGGATACAGAGGTTCTGAGCATTTCTTTCCATTGCTAGAAAGTTGAAAGTATAGAAAGACTTGAATGCTAAAGCTGGGTATGTACCGCAAAAGCAGGGAGTTCAAAGCTCCTTGAAACAATAGTGGAAAGTTGAAACAGACCACCATCTTTGTCTATTTATGGCTAGGGAAAAAAAAAACTATCCCTATTCTAGTGTTTCAAGATTTAATTTGTTCCTGGGTGGAAAAAAAATCCCTCATTCCTCAAGCGTTCCCTGAAAAACCCACAGAAACATACTTTCCATCCCCTATTATTCTGTTTGCGTCCACATGAAGCATGGACCAGCCGTGAGAGAGGCTCGTGGCAGACATTAAGGTCATGATGAGAAAAGCCTGAAACAGTCCAGGCTTGCCCTGAACCGGACGGCAGAACTGCGTATTTGGTGGGCGGTGGTTTGTTTTAAAGAGCAAAAAATAGCCAAGAAAAAAAAAGAGAGAACCTCTGAATGTTTGGCTTATGGTTTCATACATCTGGGGACTACAGGAAAGCAACATGAAATATGTTATGATTATAAATCTATGTAGTAATCTGCCTGTTTGATTTAAAGCACAAGTAAATAATCGCTCAAAAGGGGACAGAAATGTGAAATCTAAACATGTTAAAGGAGATTTCAATTTATTTCCATGTGCATTTTTTCTTAAGACTTAAAATGCAAGACAACATGCCTGATTAATGAGAACCAGTGAGGTGATTACAATTGTACAAGATGAGGGGAAGAGGGCGGACGGGCTATTCTGGGCTGAAAGCGCAAACAGAAAGCAGGGGAGGGAGACGGAGAAAGGAGGTGTAGGTTTTAACCTGTGCAGAGCCGTTCAGAACGCTGCTGATGAATTGGACCAGCTGCTCCACGCTCTCAATCGGCTCGCCGGGCAAGAAGTACTGCTCGTTGGATGTGTTAAGGATGATAACGGTGGGCACTGTCACTTCCCTGAGGAAAAAAACAACAATAGAATACGGTATTTAATCTTGTTCACCTCAGCGCCACTGTGTGCTGTTATCAATGTAAATGGTTGGATGGGAACATAATGAAGTTATCTTATAGAACAAATTGGAAAACAGATAATACAGCGGTGTGACAAACAAAGTCTTTGTACTGAGAGCAACCTAACTTTTCCCACGGGCTTTCTTTCAAAGGGAGGACTTCTAATAAAGAACACAATCCTGTTTCCTATGTTTTGAAAAGAAAAAAAGCAGAAACTCACAGGCTTTTTAAGCTTTATTACTCAAGCTTTATATAAGGAAACATTAAATAATATTCAAGGTTCAACACTTGTCTTATAAATACCCCATTACTCCAGTATTTCTGGAGGCTTTTCTTTTCCAACTAAAAGCTCCAATTATAGAAATCAGTGGCTAACTTTAACCCATCCATTAGGAAGCAGTGTGCTGCCACACTACTCCAGGGGACTATACTGGGGTTAAGGGTCGCCAACCACAAGGCAACCCCCATAAAAAAGTATGAAAAAGACATAAATAGATCAGAAACGGATGCTGGATCACCTCCAAGATCATTTCACAACACTCAACACCATTGTATAGAACCTATTTTAGCTCATTGATAAGCGATCTCTGGAGTTAAATGGACACCACTATTAATTAATGGAAACATTTTATGATTTAGAAAAGGACATCAAGGTGTGGAGATTCCCAAACTAATAAAAGCAGGGACTCATCTGTGCAACAGCAGCAGTATTTTATGACACCTTTGGAACTTTTTTTTTTTTTTTACATATTTTTAAGACTGTATTAATATTGATGACATTTTGTACATATTTTTTCTGATCATCTTCCTTCAAATGGAGCATTTACATAAACTGATTTTCTTTAAAACAATAAAAAAGAAGGTATTCCCTCTAGCTAAGCCTTTGGATGCATATCCTGTTTTCTAATTTCTATAATGACAAAGCAGTAAAAACAGTGCAAAAATACTAGAATTATCTCAAAGAAATTATATTCTTTCCCTTTAGTAATATAGAAAGATAAAAAAGTGATACTATGCTTCAACATATCAAAGAATTCAAATAACATGATTACGTTTCTAGTGACAATAGTCTGATTGGTGTAGGCTTCACAGCAGTAGAAAAGCTACCAGGTTCCTTAAACACAGCTTCGACTGGCTCCAACGCCACACGCAGTCTAATACTAGAACCAACTGTTGAAAAAAACAGTTGGAAGTAAATCACTGGGCGTCTTAAGGGAAGCCCCTCTGCCTCTACACTGGGCCCAGTGGTCCACTCATCTTTAGTTTAGCAGAAGACTCAAACAGTAACCTTCACTTTACACTCCTGAGCTGCCTAATCTCCACAAATCGGCAAAAGAATTAGAAATCCTTGTGAGATAAGGAATAAGGTCATAAAGCAACTAATCCCTTTTCCACACATTTTGTGCAGCACCAAAGCCCGGCTTAGATAAGGTATGCCGCTGCTTAGACGCGCACACACTGAGGCACACAAACAGTCCAATCGCTGTGCTGCCTCCTCACATCCCTGCGGTGTTACTCAACCCAGCAACAAATTGCACACATATCCATCAATGTCCCAATCCACCACCCAGCTGAGATCCAGAGTGCAAACACACACGCCCGTGTGGTGGATTCATCAACACTGCACTGCTCTGTCCAGCTGAGAGCTGCAGCCACACACACACACACACACACACACACACACACACACACACACACACACACACACACACACACACACACCCTACTCCAACAGATGGCCCTCATTTATACTAAATATGGATTAGCCTTTATGCCTCTAAGTGGGACTACAGGGGGTTCGCTGCAATGATGAAGGGACATGCTATCTAGCGCAGTGAAATCACTGTTTTCCAATGCAAACAAAAATGACTGCCTCATACTATGGTGGCCCTTAAACAGCAACACCATTATTAATCATTTTACAACTTTTTATCCGCCCACATTTAATAGGATGCCTGTACTGGAAAATTCCAGTGAAAACAGAACTAAATACAACTAAAGAAAGAAGTCAATGAGTCTGGTTACCAAAGAGTCACTGCCTTTATTTAGACAACTGCTTGAAGCTAACATCAAATCTTCCTTCACTGAAATACATCAGTGGGCCACAGTTTGGAACAACTTTCCAAAATATACCAGATTTAAAGGACAAAGACCTTTTCCAGTCACCAAGAGAAGGTGAAACTTGCTAACTGATTAATCTGTCGACTATTTTTTTGATTAGACGATTAATAATCAGATAGCAAAAGATTTTTTACAGCTTTGGATGAAGAATTTTAATGGAGAAAAATGTTTTTATTTTTCTTAAAATGTCGGTACAATTATTCTACTGAGCGGTTTCCTCTGTCTCTGAACTCCGTTAAGATTAATCAATCACTAAATTAGTTAATTATTTCAATAACTGATTAAACTGATTCAGCCTTAGTGCCAGGTGCTACCAAGACCCTAATTCTCCTGTCGGGAAACTATAATGTTGATTTGAATCCATTAGATTCACTGCTTTGCTGAAAAATAACAACCCTCTTTTTAAAGAACAACTATAAAGAGCAGAACTAACTAGCATTTGAAGCGGTTCATAACTTAATCCAACCCAATTTACAGATACTTTCCTTGTGCTAAAAAAATCTTTTTGGGAATGTTGCCCAAAACTTACATTTTTTTTTTTAAGTCTGGGTGTTTTCTGTGCAGGAAAAAAAAAATGTATTTTTGGTCACAAAAAAGCTGAATATCTTTCTATTGTTGCTATTAACTCTAACCAGCCATCCTGATTAGTTTTTATTTAGCCTTTTCTAACAATTTCAGAAATGAGTCCAGTTCTTATGATTTCACCTCTGCCCAATATTTTCTCAGATTATCAATGTGTCCCAACCCTGTACCATGGTGTGTAAAAAAAAAAAAAAAAATGGTGTTGACATTTTTGTATCCCATTCTGACTGATGCCTTTATACCATGAGTCCTACTGATCTCTTCTAAATCTTCTCTTTCACCAACTACATTCAGAGGACATGAAGGTATCTGATTGGGGGTATGAGATGCAGACGATGGAGACAGATGATCATTTAAAACTATGCACACATGCAGCCAGGTATTTGCACGGTTACAAAGTTATATATTCATTTCTATTCGGTGGCCGTGATTCCAAACTTTGCGTGTCGTCTTTATGAATCAAAAATGGGGATGTGCAAGTAACGAGTTTGTTAATCAAACCCCCACAACCCCGACACCAGCAATCACTAACTGCATTCAATCGGAACCGCATCTATTTCACAGACTGATTTAAAGTTCTTCCTCTCCCTCTAATGACTCATATTCTCTGATAAAAAGTCTTCCTCCCACACAGGGAGTTCTCACATCTTTAGTTTTTCACTGCCTGTTAAAGGTGTTGACAATAATCTTATATTAAACAAACCCAAAGATGCCCTGAAGACTCTGAATGGTGCTCATCGTATATAACTGTGGATTCCTGGATGTGTTTTCGGGGCCCCTGATGAAAGCTGGGGTCGCCTTTAGTGAGAGACAGACTGCTACCAGACGGTGATCTCAGTGATGACAGGAAAGGGGATAAAAAGCAATCAGGTTTATTTCTACGACTCTCCTAGGGGGGGAAGATTGGTTGACAGGCCAGGATTTTATTCCTCAAAAGAGGGCAATTAATCCTGCAGAGCATAAGCCAAATCCAGAGTCACGATCCCAGCATTGTGCATGCTGCATGTTCCCATACAAAACTAGAAACGCTAATCACTCCTTTTATCCCTAAATATACTCACTTCCTGTTTAATTTTAGGGGTGCCGGGACACTTTCGGTTGAATCTGGTCACATTGAATCTCCAGTCGCCTGTGTTCATTGACTAGTTGAGTTAATTACACAGGACTTAGGAGAGCAAAGCTGCCATAATCTCTCTCCGACAAACAATAACATGCTCAAATTAAAACAACATCCTGCAGCAGGCCCATTACGCATTCAGACTCTCACACTAAATTAAACAGAAAACACATAACGAGGCACTAGAAGTTACTTGACACAAAACAGACAAGCGACCGCCGCAGCTCTGCTGCTCTGTAACACATGTGGGGTTGGGTCTAATTAAAAAGTGTGCCATGTCAGATGGAGGATCTCTCACAGCACAACACCCTAACAGTCGGCCCTCGGAGCCGGTACAAGGGCGCTACAGCCGAATCTTCCTTCGTTAGTGCTGCTCTCTGACAAAAATATTAAAAGCACCATAGATGTAATCCACCCGTTCATAACCCTTTAACTTTTTCTAATTGACACATTACAACCAAATAATTCAATACAATCTACTTGGATTTTACAAGATGTGTTAATGTGACATAGGAGCAGATTGCTTTATTATCTTTTCCATTTAAGAGTGGTTTTCATTTGTTTTCAGCCCCTCTACTCAGATACCCCTAAATTACTGGCAGACCAAGCAAGTCTTTGGGGATCTGTCACTTAGCTGGAACATCTATAAAACTAGATTAACTCTTATGTGCAAAATGGCTGAAAATATTTAAAACACAAATAAGCTTTGACATAAATGCTTGTGAAAATTCTCAGTCATGCGCGTTGTGGAAACCAAAAAACAGGACTTTTGGTCAGTTTTTCAAAACATGTTTCTACATCTGATGAGTGCGCCAGTTCTAATGGCTCACACTAGACCAAGCTGTTGGAGCACTAATATTTTAAGCACCTGGGAAAGCATCCTTCTAAGCACATTTAAAGGTATACTGGAGGATATTCTTTTTCTGGGTCATCTAAATAAGTGGTCCTCTTAAATGTCAACATTCTCGTGATACTGGTGGTGAGTCTATAGTGGAAAAATTGCTAATCTTCTTTTGGAAAGTAAGCTTGTATGAGTGATGCAAACAGCAACTTTTAAACAGAGTATGCACGAGAAGAAATGGGCTTGTGCATGCTCTCGCACGTGTTTAACAGGCATTCTCTCTTGGGTCTTTTCGAAAATTGGCGAAAATCCTCCTCCACTATAACTTTAAAGTAAACTTGCTCACCGGAGTCGTGTTTTGTATGCACTCCAACTACTGGCTACTGTAGTGCCAAATTGCCCAATTTACGCTACCCCTCTGAAACCGATCCGTGCCAAGCTTGGTTCTTCCGACCATTTACACACCACACTAGCATGGTTCCTTGCCTCCTATCGGCAGTCCACAATACTACAGCTCGCAAGGTGTCGGTGCCCGACATTTTTAAATTTTAGCGTTTTTAAATCTTAGCGTCCTCCGCCAAAATTTGAAAGACAGCCTGAGTCTCTGCATCATCCCAGGTTGCACCACGCTCTTTTGATGCCATTTATTGTTAATAGCCTGAAGTTCATGTTGTGAACAGGTGAAGAGATCTGTGAATTGCAAAGCCAGACACGCCGGAAAACCCGCAAAAGGAGTCATCTGACTGTGAATAGAAGATACGGTGTCGCCCATGCACTCTTTTGTTATCAGAGAAGCAAGGCACAACTGAACTGTGCCGAGCCCTACTGTTGAACTAGTACTAGATTTAGCGCTGTTTGGTTGTGTCTGGAACAGCCCAGCTCAGTTGCGTTCCATTTAAACTCAAGAGTTATCTCAGTAACCGTGCTCGGACCATTCTTGGCAGGGTTTCAAAAGGGTAGTGTAAATGGCGCTAAAATCTCCTGGAAAATGGTCCAAAGCTTTTCAGAAGAACTGAGTAAACGCCTGATTGTCTGTAACCTAAAATATGTAATTGCAGCTCTGAATGTTTGTTAAGGGTTGCACTCCTGCAAGGAGGAGAATCATCAACCCAACCCATGATCATGCTGGCTTTAGCTACAATCATATTCTGTTCCTTCTAAAGAAAAACCTCCCTTGAAGCGTGACAATGACAACCATGTTTGACCATTTTAGTTTTCTTCCCTACGTCGCCTATGTAGGACCAAAAATAAATACATTACGTCCTCACTAGAACAGAGGCTTTTTCACATGCTTTCCCCCTAACACCCCAAAGTCTTATTGGAGACTGGAAATAAAACTGCTCTTGTCTTTTTTAACCCATTGCCTTCTTCTTGCCACTTTGCCACAAAGTACAGATTTTTGAAGCAAATTAATAACTTATGTTGAAAGGTTATTCCACCAGAGCTGTGGATTTCTAGAGCTTCTCCAGAGTTACTATAAGTAACTAAGCTGCCTCTCATTAATTCTCTAATTACTCTGCCCATGCATTCACACTAGGGGTGGGTATTGGCAAAGAAGTCATGATTCGATTTGAATCACGATTCCCATGTTTTATCCCCAATATTTTCACTGAACACTGTAAGAAAAAGATACAGCCATTACCAGTGGCTGACTGGCTGGGTATGATCTGGAGAGTGTCTTCAATTGATTCATAACTGAAAGAAACTGAATTCACACATAGCTTTATTTATTGAAATTACTTTTGGAGGTGTTGCCATGAAAACAAATACTGGACACAAATATTACTATTACTGGTGTGGACACATTGACAAAAAGATCTTAGGATTCATAAAACTTGAAATAACAAAATAAGGATAATCAGTACATTTACATGGCCTCAGTGGTCCTTTTGCAAATTACATGCATCATAACAATTTCATTTTTACCTTTGTTTTTAAAGCCAGAATGCATCCAAGCATCTGACTTGAAATGTGATTGAGCCGGGGGGGGGGGGGGGGGGGGGGGGGCGAATTTTCGCAGTCTCCTCCATATTTTGTTTACAAATGACTCGTCTCAGTATCCCGTGGCCGGACATGCTTGTGACACAAAGCAGCAGGCGTCAACACATACACAGCGACATCTGCTGGACTGGAAGTTGTATTCCACTTGATTTGGCTGATGTGCGCCAACCATTAATGGATTTTATTTGTTCTATTTTTTTTTTTTTTATAATTGATTCTTGCCTTCAAGAATCGATGCAGTAGATCACAAAAATTAGAATCGCGATGCATCGTAATGACGATTATTTTTAGTCCTTCGTCAATACTTTTTCGCTATATTCTATTTTGCCTCAAAAGGCTTCATCTTCGCTGCTCTGATCTCTGCATTTTCTCCATCAAACTATGTCAAAACCAGTCCCTGAGTGGTTGCCTTTTCACAGAAAGTTTCTGATTTTTCATCTCTAGCAGTCCCTAATTGCTCTCACCACTGGCCACTTTCCCGCTATGGCCCACATGCTTTGCATAGGTATATCATGCAAAAGGCAGACTTTGCGTTCAGTGTAAATGCACCATTAGTTGGATATATGTATCTGGGTAGATTTAATGATTGTTTAACCATTCTAACATTTTATATTTATTTTAGATCCTGCAGTAACCTTCTTCACACATCTTTCCTGAACATTCTGCAGAATACCTTGGCCCTTACCATACAGTTTGCTTGCTAATCAAGTCTCATAAATCACGGTGGCACAGAACAGCTGTACTAATATTGAGATTAAATTACAGACGAAATGATTCCTTTTTAGCAATTCAGTGCATTTTTTTTGGGTTACCACATTGGAGGCAGCTCGGTGAGGAAGTACACAATATATATCGGATTTTCTTTTGTTAAAAAAACAAAACCAGCTATAATTTTCTCCCTGTGTAAAGCACTGAAGCTTTTGATGTTATTCCTTAGATCTTCACACCACACTGCCCTCTTATATGCAGATCTGCAGCAGTGTCTGCATCTTTTGTGAGGATTTTCCCTTTGAGCACTGGTGACTGATGACAGATGGTTAAAGATGCCAAAAGCAGTGGAAGTAAAGATGACAGCACTTCTGTGTAACTGACTTCCCCTCCAGAGAGCACCCTTAATGGCAAAGGCCGGCATTACAAGCCGCTGCAGACCTGGATAAGTGGCTGACAGAAGGTAACGTGAGGCTGAAAGAGAGGACGCTGACAGGAGAAGTGAGAATGAGGACAGAAATGAGACACTCACCCCATAATGAGGCTGTTAATGTAGTCATTCCCATCCATGTGGCCAAACTGGAAATCTCTGGAGATGCAAGAAACATCAGAGACATTAAAAAAAAAACAAATCATCATGAGCAAAAGGAAAAAACGAAAGTATAACTAGAACTTCTATCTCCTGTCTCTGCGGGCTGTATATTATTAGCACAAACCAGGGCAGCGTTGTCAATGCATGATATCACACAAATAGAAAACTTGCTTAAAAGTAATATAATGCTTCTGCTGCTGGAAACAAGAGAACGCTTTTGTCAGGGAGGGAATAAAAAAAAATGAAAGTATCCCCAAAGCTCCATCCTGTGCAGTCCCCCTGCTTCTCCTCATTCCCTTCGCCGCAGAAAAGACTTGGGTTATTTATCTAAATGATAAGGAAGGAGGAGGAATTCAATTTGTAGCTCATTGTGCTGCACTATGTCTGAGCAGACGAAGGAAGGGGTGAGGTGGGGGCTATACAGGACCAGAGAAGCTGGCGACTTCGCCCGAATGACTGATTATGACGGCCTGCACATATACATTATATTCATTTCGAATCATTGCGACATACAGGACAATCGTCCCCTGGGCTCTAAGCAGAAACCGCATGCACTTATATGAATGGCAAGATTATTAGACCCAACAGTGGAATACATTTTGTGGAGGCAATAAAAGAAAAAAATCCCGCAGTCAATGTTTGAGGCGATCGTACTGACAATAGTAAACCAGACAGGGAATAAAACTCATCATAAGTAAAAGCCTGCTCTGGAAACTGCAGCCAGGCGAGATATGGATCCGAATTAGGTGGGAAATTATCTCCGTCTCCAAGAGTGACGGGAAAAGAAAATACAGCGATGAAACATTTGACATGAAAGGGAAATAACTTTTTATTTTTACTGTTTCATTAGAAGTTTGCCACTTATTCATTTGTTTGCAGATTTGTTCTTAACACATCACCATCTGCCCTTAGACACGTCTTTGGCTGTTAGAAAAACAACATGTTTCCATGAAGCTGAAGACAAGGAATATTTCCAGTCGAGTTCGAATATAAAAACAAGTCTAGAGCCTTGGATATTCAATAAAACACTCCCACACTTAACCCGTGCCAGCCTGGCAGTTTAAGATCTAAAATTAAAAGAAAAAAGGAAAATGATACAAATTACAGTATCTCCTTCTAAAATACTTTTTTGTGCTCCGTTCCATTTCAAGTGAAGCTTGGTTCAATAATCGAGCCAATTTTAGCCCAATCTTCCTCTTCAGAGAGGTTATCACGATGGCTATTAAGGTAAACTTATAAGGTAATGCTCCTTGTGTGTTGTGTCAGGAGTGCTTTTGACTGATCAGCATGAGGGGTCTTCTCCAACCACATATCAGGGAAATCCAACATGGACAGGGACTTCCTGGTTAAATAAAGGTTAAATAAAAAACATGTTGGATTGTCTTGGGCAGATATCCTAATGCATGCAATCTCCTCTAAGCACAGACAAGGACCGAGCCTGTTGAATGGGACTAGCAGCCAATCAGAAAGTGTTTCCAGAGGAAAAATAATGCTGACATTTGAATCTTTCTGAATGATACCAGCTCATGATGTGTTGTGCTTGCCAAGTGGCGGTACACAAACTGTAGGACCAAACCGGTTATATCTAAGATGTTTTTTAAAATCATTGTGTGGGGTCTTCTTAGGTTTGGAAAATCAACCGACAACTTTAGAGTCGTGCAATTTGAACCACTTAGCCTGAGTCTGAGCTAGAAGGTCAAGTGAGGTGGATTTCTAAATTTAAAAAACTGGAGGTTCCTCAGCAGACATAGCTCCAAATTCCAATGTGGCTGGTTAATGCATGAAAACCAGAGCTTCAAGGATGGGGCTTTAAATAATATCAGGTCTTATATAAGGAGAACAAGATCAAACAAAGGTTTAAGGATATTTAGGGGGGGGGGAAAAAAGGGATTAAAAATACGCAACAGATTAGAAGGTGTGTTGGAGAGACTAATCAGCAGAATAGTTCAGTCCTTGTTGGAATAATCTTTGAGACAAAGGTTTATTTTTTTTAAAAATGTAGTTCTAATGCTGAAAAAAAAGAAAAATCTGAGCTGAACTAAATTAGAATCTATAGATATAGGACACCTAGATTTTTAGACTTCACCTATAGAGTGCCATCAGATTATCCTCTTTGGAGATTTGAGCTGAACAACCTGAACCAAACCAAATGTGTTGAGGACACACTGAAACCCACAGCATGCGGCTGCTCCCAGTTAGATGTAATGGGGCGGTTGTGCTGTTCCACCTGTGTTACTGAGCCACATCAACAACTGTGCAGAGAAGCAGCACGGTGGAACAAGCAATGCTGGAAAACAAAGGCTGTCATGTTACACGTCATGCCTGTGATTTCTCCATGCTGGAGAGCTATTTGAAAGAACAGGGGCGCTTCATTACTTCGCTATTGCACACTGTGAATCGAACAAAGGGGCACTGAGGAGCATTTGGAGGGAGGCGGCTTATAAGTATAGTAAGCATTGAAAAATCTGTTTTTGGTTTAGCTTATTTTAATCTATATAAAACAGAACTGATGCTCGAGCTAAAATAAACCATGTACGATTTTCAGGACAGCCTTTAGTTTATCATTAAATATTTACTAACATTAAAACCTTCGCCTTAATGCTGCCATTTCAGATTGGTAAAAAAAACAACCAAAAAAATGGGTTGGTAAATGAAGCTGTGTGACTGTTTGTTAAACTTAAGAACATCATTAGGATTCTGATAAAGCTGGGCTTCCTACACTGTATGGATGAGGCAAGGAATTTCCATATGTCAACGTTACTCCTTGTTCAGTTTCTGAATGTCTCAGCCGGCTTCTCAACTATCATTTCTTTTAGCCTTTGTTTCTGCTAAGTGTTTTTTTATTATTTAAAAATGTTCAATATATACATCCATCTGTCCATGTCTGTTGATCCATTTATTGATCAACTATCCATTTAGCAACACATCCATCCATCTCTACCAATCTATATACACTAATTAATTTGTCCTGTGATCCAGTCCATTTTAACCACATAATTAATCGCAAAACCATCCCTCTAGATTTAATCCATTGATCAATCCAAACTTAAAAATAAAATCATTTTACAAATGAAATATTTAAATAAATTATTTGATTGAAAACCTTTGCATAACTTTACATTGGGATAAGTAAAGTATTTGAGTTTATTTTTGTACTTAAATAAAAAGGTTTGCCATTCTGCCGACATTGCTCCTACTTCCATAGCGTAGCATGTGCTAATATGTGAGTGAAACTGTTGATGTGATCATATTAGCCGTTTCTCAATGTGTGTTCTTGTGCGTTCTCATGTGCTCGTAAAACATCATCAGCATCAGTCCTAGTACTGTTTTAAATTCACAAGAACTCAAGACTGAGAACGAAAAAAGTCCCCGGATGTTGTTCTCGCCCCTCCCTCTTTATGGAGCACGCATCAGAGCAGACTTGTCCATTCTCCAGATAGACAGCTGTCCCAGCATGCACCGCAGTAGCTTCCAATGGAGCAATTAAGTTAAAAATTAACTTTTCTGTTGCCTTTGTTCTATAAATGTACGTTTAAAGATAATTTAATACGAGAACATTATACTTCTAAGCGTCACTATATGGCCCGTTTACTGATTTAGTGCGTAATTTTAAAAAGTTCCGATGGCCGAGGCAACCAGCGGACCTCCGAGGCTAACCGCAGCCAGGGCTCATTTTAGCGCGTCTGCAGCAGCCCTCTTTCAGCATAGCCATGCAGGAAGTACCGCTGGCTATGGTGTTTTTTTTGTTTTATTTGGCAAAATGTTCATTTGATTTGTTTATCTGACTGTGTTATTTCCTCACTAAATCAAAGAAGTAAGAATTTAATATTATCTAGAGACTATTAATAACATGAGGTGAAACGCAGCTCCAGACAAGCTTTGAATATGGTGACGTCACGAGTAAGCTTCCGTTCCTATTTATCCATATTTATGCTGCGTGCTCCCGTTCTCCCCGAATCCTACTTGCCTGTGTTCTTGTCAAGAACGTCCTTGGTGAGAACACGAGTCCATACTCACTTTCTTGTGAATTGAGAAACAGCCGTTGGCTCTGTTTGCAAGACAAAGGATCGGCTGGATAGAAATGCTGGGGTGGACTAAATGATGGGAGTGGAATGCTGATGTGTAGTGCTTCTATAAGCGAGATCAAACCTAATCTGGTATTGGTTTTTTGGGTTGATATCAGACAGATTTTCTAATTTCTATATTGATTTACAGCAGGTAATCTGTAATTAGATAAAACTTGGACAACATTCAAATTCCATCCAAGGCGAATAATACTTGTAAGTTCTTTTGAAAAACTCCTTCCCATCTATGGTCCTTTATTTGCTGTTTCAGGCTAGACTTTAAATGTTTTTTGGTTTTTTGTTTTCTACTGAAAACAGTTAATTAAGAGCAGTTAGACTGAACTGAGAAACCAGCATTGAGTAGTTATGGGGCCTTAAAGCAAAACAATGTGATAGAGGTCTCGAAATAAATGCATGTTCTTGTATAATTTTAACATTATAAAAGTGTAAAAAGATATACTAGCCCCAGAAATGAGTTTGCCAGGAGTCTCATGGTCTATAAAGAGGGAGTTTTTGGATTGCAAAGTCCTTTATGGATATAAATTATGGCTCAGAGGTCTCTTTGTGATAAAGCTATTATTTTTAGCAACAACTGGCAGATCAAAGCCAAAACAAAGCAACATGTGCTGATGCCAGCACATAAATGCCCAGATGCTGACGAGAACCAGAGTTCTCCTGCTTGCCTGCGAATGCCACAAGTGGTGGAGTGAGTAGAATACCACAACACTGGATCAAAGGCATTGGCTTATTCGAATGTCAGCTTCTCCTGTGATCTCTCCGCTCTGTGTACTTCCTCCAACTACCAGCGGGGGCGACAACGCAGCCAGAAACATGTAATTACAAGCTCTGTTTAGGTGTGTCAGAACCCTGCAGGCGACTCTGATCTCAGTGGGGTGAAAGTCAGATGTCTTCAGAAAACGAAAAAACACCACTAGGTAGTGTGGCAGATAGTGGTATAATTGATGATAGGGATCTGAGTAATTCAATCAGCGCTAATGGGAATGCCTGGAGAGGGAGAAATGCTTTGATCACGGCTGTTTAAGGAGGACATCTTTATTCAAACGAAGAAGCCACTTCAGCACAGCACATTCCTTCTTTAACTAAAATCCTTCAGCTAAAAGGTCACCCACCAGCAGCGCTTTAAATTTACCCACTTCACACATTCAGCAAACTCTCTGACTTTTAAACCCTCAGTTAAAAAAAAAAACTGCTTCTTTTTTTTTATTCCTCCTCATCTTGGAGCAAAAATGGCTCGTCCTGAAATTACACATCACTTTGTTTTTATTTGCCTTGTTACAGAGGAGCTCTCCAACATGAGAATAGGTCGAGCGGCGCAGCGCGCACCATAAACACCCCGGTACGGAGTTGTTATCGTGCAGAAAAACAGAGAATTATGCATTAATAAAAGCTGAGCTGCATCTGTGATTGACAGCTGAAAAGAACACCTATATTTGGAAGCTGACATTTCACATAATTACCTTTCTACTGAACCGCTACACAAAGAAAAAAAGAAAAGAAAAGGAAAACAGACGTGCCCTGACAACAGCATAAACTTGCTTGTGAGTAGACTGGCAGCATTTCCCCAGTGAGTACGCCGTCCTGAAATAAACGTATAAATTGGATTTTCATCTCTGACCTCAGCGTGTCTTCGTGCCTCACCTGTTAAACTGTTCTCTGTATTCCTTCGCCACCCGCTGCATCAAGGTCTTTAATCTAAAAGTAAATGAGAAGAGAGTGAAAAGCCACATAAGTCAGAGCCCATCCCTTTTTTTTTATATATATATATATATACATTTTATTTATTTTTAGCCGCCGGCTGCAATTTGTGGGAAGCTCCAAACAATAACAGCCAGTCTTATCTTTATTTGAAAGCCACACACCCAAATGCATCTATTGTGGAAAGTGTGGTGAGCTATTTGTTTATACAGGGCAGTGCTTTTTAATTTCAGCCTTCTCTACCTGCCGCTCTGCTCAGTGGGGTCCTTCTCGTCGATGACCGCAATTGCCACCAGTTTGCCTGTGGGAGGAAGACAACGATTAAAAAAAGGAAATAGGTATGAAGATCATTTGGGATCAAATGAAATAGGCTCTCTGGCAAAAAGGTTTCTGCACAACTGTCACGTCAAAATTCTTCCTTTTCCTCTAGGAAATTTCTGTAGACATCAGATATTTCAGAGACAATATCTAATAAAAGTGAGATTGGAATAATTCACTGTGGATTTACAGTGTTGATAGACATCTAGGTGATGTAGTGATGCATGAACGGGTGGAGAGATGGACGAAGAAAGAGGCATATGGAAGGAGGGATAGACAGATGGATGGAGGAATGATGCGAGGGAAGGATGCTCAGACATGGAGGGATGGGTTAGGTTTCGGATACATAGAGGCAGGTATGGATCGGCGATTCATTTTCTCTATCATGCTGACCAAGGGGTGCGTTTAAACTTCAGCCCTTTCCAGAATGTAGGAACCCTTTTGGGAGACGCATCATTGCTCAATGGAATCATTAAAAAAAAAGAAGCACTGATGGTGATTTACCCATTAATCACTCAAACAGTAAACTAACTTCAGCTTTCTGCTTGGTTGAGCGGGAAACAAGAGCTCACTGCGTAGCAAAGCTGTTTAGATGCCATTCAAAACCAAAACCCATGACATGACAAATAGGTCTACTTAGGGGGAAAAAACAAACTCTTACACAACTTAAAAAGGTCTCCTATTTAAGCTGCAACGGTCTGAGGCAGAAAGCCTTTGACATTTAGATGAGAGAGGCAGCCTGCCCCCTGCTGGTCACTGATGCAGAAAGGTTAGGTAGAAAAGTGGACAGCCTGGAAACAGGGGAGGAATGAATATTTGCAACACAGGGAAGGAAAATATATCCACTAAGTATGTCTGTCCGCATGAGTTTAACAAGAGAAAATAGGCATAATTAACTCTAGATGCTTTTTGAGAACCCAAGAAGGTACATTAGAGCCACTGGCTTTGTCACTTAATGTCCTACACACCCAAAATCATCAGCATGGAAACAAAGATTCATCAATGACTAAAAGAGTACCGGGATTTTGAAACATGTTTCTTCCTCCATGTCTGAGATTCACTTTCTAATAAGTTAAACAGAAACAACATAATGCATTTTGATGTATTTGTTTCAGAGAAAGTTATAAATATTAATTGGTGTAATTAATACATTATTTTCATAATGCCTCATACAGTAAATCTCCTACACACCCCAATATTTATCATCTAAATCACTGATGAGTTCATACACCTTCTAATGTCCCATGTGTGGTAACTACTGTGAATTGACTGTTGTAGGGCATTTGGAGGAGTACTCCTGGATGCCTGCCTCATTTCCTATATATGTATATATATTGTCCCACAATGGGGAAATTCACTCTCTGCATTTAACCATTGCTAAATGGTTAAATCCACTGCCATTTAGCGCCTAGGGAGCATCACACCCCATATATATATATATATATATATATATATATATATATATATATATATATATATATATATATATATATATGTAAAAAAAACTTTGAAAAGAAAGAAACAAAGAAAGAAAACAAAACAAGGTTGAAAATTTAAATCCCAATCTGCAAAGGGTATGAATAATTTTGAGCCTATTTTTATGCATGGAATACGAAGGACATTGAACAACAGCTCTATTTGACATAGCAGTATCTGCGAATATGTCACTCAGAGAAGGGATTAGATTTATTACAAAGACCGGATCACACTCCCAACTAGACAGAGCTTCTTCCAGCCTTTTGATCTTCATGTCTCCAGACTTTATAAAATGCTGCCTTAATTGTACCACAGTAGTGGCAAGTCAAGATGTTTCTTCTATTGCTTTTTTCCTCCTTTCTTTTGAACAGTAAATCCTACTTAGATCTAAAATTTGGTTAAGTTTAAATCCTGCTTTAGAAATTGATAATCCACTCCTTTGGTGATTTATGTAAAATATGCCACTGCCAAAATCATATTCAGACATTTATTATTACTTAGTAGTTTTTCAGTACTCTGTCAAGTTCCTCTGCGAGATATCTGGAGTTATTTTGACCCAGTGATAGAGAGCAAATGCTAACATAAAACCATCATTTTTTTTCTTCTGGGATAATGTTTAAAACTGACAATCAATTGCAGCTCCTCCATCATTATAACTTGATCACTGTCTCAAATGGACCAAAAGTGTTTCGCATTCTTAAAGCCCCAGCTGGGATCATCTCTCACATCAAAGCTTCTGGATGAGAATTAAATCATGCCTCATGTTCTGATGCAGAGAGAATTTCTGAATAACTTAGAAATGCTCTAGTCCATCAAGTTAAAATATTGTCTGCTGTGATGTCATCTAATTTAATACATTTATCTGAGACTCATGGCGTTTCGCCTTCAATCTGCTGGAGCATTTTCAGGAACTACAGCCAGCTCACTCTTTAATCCACTGGTTTAGTAACTGTAATGTTTACCCAGCTGATGATTAACTGTTTAATACTCACATCCAAATTTTATATGCAGCTAGTGTGATATTTATGTGTAGGAAAACAAGAGCAAATAAAAAACTGATGTGTGCATACAGATTACTCTTTTCCAATCATCTTGTTTTGTTATTGTGGTTTTCTCCGCTTCTGAAGAATAAACTTCCAATATTCCAGAGCACGACAACATAAAGGAGGAAGTGCTTTTTAATATCGCCAAACACATTTTGCTTTCAATATGCAACCGATTCATCTCCCTGCCTGCCTCTCTGTCCTTTAAATCCTGGCACTTAAATAAACCTTAATTACAGTTTCAGGCGCTTTATTGATTTTTTGGGTCATGCAAGTATTTAGATGTGGGTACTGAGTTCTGTGTCAGTATGACTTATGATGTGGGGGAGGCGAGGGGGGGTTGGTTTCAAGCATAAAATGTCATCCCAGCAGCTCCACTGAGCTGCAGTCCATGAAATGTGATCCTCGGTTGAAAAGATTCCAGCAACAGGACTCCTGCCAACTCCTTTTTTCGTTTAAACTTCCTTCAGATATTCGCTTGAATGAAAACCTCAAATTCTTGAACAGTCACACATTGTTTATCCAATTAAGGTGTTAAAGCAAAGGTTTAAAAGGCAGAAAGTCTGGCCAAGATGAAAAAGAAAGAAACTTCAAATGGCCTGAAGAATATCATATATATATTAATTTATTAAAAATAAATTTAAAAAATGTATAATTCATATGTCTATCTATATATATATATATATATTCACACTATTATTTATTTGCCACAAAAACATATCTTGGATGTTATTCTTTGTTGTTTCATTCCCTATTGGTATTGAGCCTTTTATCACTGAAAGTCTGCTTTTTCTCTCTCAAAATGGTGACACCTTTGCAGCAAAAATGCAGTTGTGGGTTGAGTGGCAGAGTAAAGCATATATATAACTTGCCAAATCCTCTTTGTGAGAGCAAACCAAGTTATGATGGAGGTAATGAGATGCAGTTTAGGCAGAAACTCTCTGCTGCCGGAAAAAAGGAGTATTGGAAAGACTGGCGTCCTGATCTAAACCCCACTGAACGCTTGTGGGATTCACATCAGTGGCCACCTTACAGTGTGTGAAACCAAGCTGGTGACCAGCATAAGGATGAGGTGCCAGGAGCCAACACATTGCAGAGGCTTATGTTTATAAATAAATAAGGTGTTGCATTAATAAAGTTATATCTTTATATATAAAATTACTTAGACCTCCCAATACATTGGTCGTTAAATATAAGAGGCCTTTTTACCTCCCTATTAATCATAGTTTTCCTTCTGAACTTTAACGATTTAAGGTAAAACTCTAATGTTGTATTTCATCTCCCTAAAATCTAATAGTAATTGAAGCAGAAAATATCCCTTTTGTTAAGATAAAAGTAAAACTTCACTGAAGTTGCAAGGCTAAATGACCAAAGGCTGGTAAAAAGAATGGAAAGATGCTGAGCAGGCTATAGAGACACAGTTACTCTAAGGAGTGGAAGAGAGTAAATGTCTGTAGCCAGGTTGGAGACTAAGCCACAACAAATAAATTAGACGTTCGATAATAAATCTATCAGATAATACCCCCATGCAGACAATATGTGAGAGAGTTGAAGCAGTGATTATAAAAGTCTAATATGTTCATGATTGAGTGCAATTGGTTCATTTTCATCATGTTATTTGGAAAGAGTATAGGTGCTCCTCGTCATTGATAGAGGAGAATAAGAACAATCCTGGATATCTTTTTTATACAGTTGCATAACTCATTCAGAGCTCTGTTGAACCACCCATCCCACCTGCTCTTAGCAGGAATGATTTTATGAGATTCTTTATAAAAGGGATAGATTCTATTAAATATAAGATCATCAGCGCCCCTCTAACTATGACTGGTTTATCTCTGAAAGGGGAGGCAGCATCTGAGGTAGCAATAGAATCTGAAGCGGGTTTAGACTGCTTTGATCAGTAGAACTTTGAGAATTAGTAAAACTATTGTCTTCATCTAAGCCTTCAACTTGTATGTTAGATCCACTTCCAACCAGGTTATTTAAGTATTCCTTTTGATCTCCTCCTCCATTTTAGATGTGATCAATCTATCTGTGTTACAGGGATACTTACCTCAGGCTTTTAAAGAAGCTGTAATTAAATATTTAAGAGACTGTCTCTTGACCCAGATGACTTGGTCAATTATAGACCTTTATCCAATCTTCTCTCTTATCTGTAATTTTTGAGAAAGTAGTTGCCTAACAAGTGTGTGAAACAGCACTAATGAAAGTGTTGGTCCAAATGGTCCAAATCCCACAAGAAGTCAGCCATTTTGGATCAAAGCAGCCATCTTAACTCCTTTACTCGTGTCCTATCTAAGCAAACTTTCACAGCTTTGGATTTAAAGACTTTCAAATGACTTGGGATAAACTTCAGGCATTGGGGTCAAAAGTTCTTAAAGCATTTTTACTGCATCAAAGCATGCAGGCACTGCCAAGCACCAAGCAGGGAGTTATAACCTCTAAACACAAAGTCAGAGCTGTACCATAGTCCCTGTGTGTCATCTTAGACTGGCTTGCAACACGTACACATGCTCGTTTGATGGAATCACTTAAACCCCTTCTCATGTTTTACTGATGTGGATTCTCTCCTTAACTTTGTCACTTATGAGAGTTTTAATTTGTGTCTGATGACAGAGAACAAGGTAAGATGAATCCCTCTCAGAAAAAGGACTTCCCGCTGAATCTTATGGGTGTGGCAGAGTGGTGAATGTGCACGTCCCTCCAGTTGCATACATTTGCTTTTAAATGGAATATGCATGAAATATTTTACTTCAAACAGGAAATGAGCGATCCTTGGAACGATATGAAAAGCTCTGTTGGATTAAAGTGTACTAAACAGTCAAATCTCTCTGACTCATTGTGCTCTAACTTTTTGTGCCTTTTGATGCACCAAAGACCTATTTGGCATGGTAATTTCAAGAGATAAGTTTAGCCCAGCCCACTAAGAACAGGACGTGACCATAACTTCTGTCGGAAGTTATGGGTCAAACTTTTAAGTCTTTTAAATGAAGTTGAATTCAGCCTGACCAAATGTCTGGGTTTATCCTACTCATGGTGCCACGCAATGGCAAACCGCAGAACATTTCTACTGGCTATGTGTAGACCTGGAGTCTTCCAGGGCTGCTGTAGGTCAAGCCAATGTCTCATATGGCTATACTTTGTATCGTTTCTTTAAAATTGAGTCATCCAACCCAATAAAGAGCACCGCACAACAGTAAACAGCAAATGGAGCTGTCAACATTGATTAAAGAGTTCAAGATCCAAATCTTAGCAGCATTTTCTTCAACCACAATTAGATTTTGCAGGTAAGCAATTTACTTAAGCTCATAGCAAGCTTGAAAGCTTAGCGCTGTGGAGAAATCTATATACTAACAAAGTTTTTTTCTTTAGTCAACATTTTCTTTGACCACTGTAGCTGCATGACAAACCTTAAAGATCCCAAATACCATTGTCCTAGTGACAACTGGAAGCCCTACTTGTTTTGAGGATACATTTTTAAAGCTGTGTTCAGCTATAAAACAACTTTGTGCTATTTCAGTGTACAATATGGTAAGAATCATGAGGCCTGGGATGGATATTTTTGATATTTAAACATATTGCATTAAAGAGAAAGAATACAAACATCTGAATTCTTGTTTAATGAAGGTAAAACATAAAGATATAAATAATGACTAAATAAGTTTACAGATTGTTGTTTCTTTTATTATTATAGCTGGACACCAGCGGGAATATTTTCCTGGAAACTTCTTAACTTTGTAAAGTTAAATGTATAGAAAAGCTGGCAGATCAAACTGCACAGCTTGCTGGAATGCAGCCACAGTATCCGGTAACATCAGCTGCTCTAATGTTGTCAGTGAAAAGCCTATAAAGGAAAAAAAACTATCTAATATTAGAGAAGTACCAATTTCCTGCGCTGAGCATCAGTTTACTGCTGTTTAAGAGGCAGTTTGCATTTCGCTCTTAAGCTTAAATTACCTTTACAAGGTTTTTAAACAAGAATAACAAATCCTGCTATTTCTGGAGGGCAAAGAGATTCTTTCACTCTGAGAGCAGAAATAGCCGCAAAAGTACAACCGAAGCTGACCATGCTCCTGAGAGCAGCAGCTCTAAGATGTTTGACCTTTAATTTTAAAGTTGCCCTGTAGCAAACTATGAGTTTGAGGGCGGGGCTCCTAAACATTAGGCCGTTCTTTACATAATAACACTTTGCTGAGACGCTTCGAATGATTTATGCTTGTGATTTAATATGCAGTTTAAAAATGCTTACTAGCATATTTGGTTGTAAAAAGGATCTATATGCATGGAAAAGGCAATAAAAAACCCACAGCTATGGCTCAAAATATAAAGCATAAAAGAAATAAAAATGGAAAAAAGTAGATGTCCATTTCCTCTAGCAATAATGTTTTACTAAAATATAATAAATGTGCAGTGCCAGGCTGAAGTTTTACATTTTTATGGGCACAGATGTGATTAATTTAGAGTTTAAATTATTCATTTTCAAGTTAGAACAATTAAACCACAAACTTTTATGACTCATAAGCATTGTCAACAAGCTTACTGCATAACTGTGGGTTAGATGTTTGAATAAATATCGGTCGCAGGGCAAAACAGAGAGAGACCCAAAGACATACTTGCACAGCACAGGGTTGCATTTGTGTGCATTCAACCATGAACACACACACACACACATGTTTTTGGACTGTGGGAGGAAGCCGGAGTACCCAGAGAGAACCAACACATGCTCAGGGAGAACATGCAAACTCCATACAGAGACTATGAAGCAGCAAAATAAAGCCCCATCTCTAGGCTTTGAAAGTTTTATTCTAAGGTTTTCAAACCAAAGAACCCTGCAGTATCTACTAGGCACGGTGGTGGCAGTATCATGTTGTCTGGACGTTTCAATCCCAATTATTGACAAATACCATAAAAAGGGGGATATAAAATGCAGAATTAGGACAAGCAGGATGTTCTAACAAGACGATGATCCCAAACACACATCAGAACTGGTTGAATAATGGATAAAGGTGACCAAAGCTAAGCTTCTGAAGAGCTAACCCCAAATCCCCAAAGTCTACCTTGTTGAAAACTTATATTTAAAATTCAGCAACTACCTTGAAAAAAAATGTATTTCAATCAATCTCTATCGGTTCCACCAAGAATTGTGGCCAGAAAAAAACTAAAAAAAAAATGTTTTTATCTATATATACCCGAGTATGAAAGCATCTATTTACAACAAATGACTAAAACATGTATCCACTTATAGTTTTAAGAAGAAAACTGATTCTATATGCGAGACAATGCAAATCAAGTGGACCATTAAAAGTAAATGCATAAGAGATTCAGGCCCATTAGTGGATGTTAACATGTGATCTGGACATCTTAAATTTACTTATTTTAGTGTCACAATTTGCAACACTGAAAATAAAAATGTGGGGTTAGGCTGGAAATCTCTCTGTTAATGCTTTATGTTTATGTCAGGAATACTTTTTTTGCTGCAAAATAATGTTCTTTAAAAACACACACAATAAAAAAAACACAAGCAAAACATGAGAAATCAAACATATTGTGTATAAAATTGTATTACGCCACCTGTGTCTCCAAGCTCATATAACGTGAAGCCATCAATCTGAAGGTATCCTTGAAAGCGCTCCCTGTTCACCCATGATGACAGGCTGCCGTCCTCATACTCTACAAAAAACACAGAGAGCAAATCTTTGAGATAAGAGGGGACAGAGCAGCTTATTGAGATTCAGCACACAACCTGTCAATATCAAAAGCAAAGCATAGCGGCGTATCGACGGCTGGACTGTCAGAAGATCTCTGTGTTTACCACATGTAAGCTCTTCAGGGGGTAAAGAGCGAGACGCGGTCTGAGCGTGCACAGACATGGGGCACCTAAACAAAGATCAGAGGATTCCGAAAGTGGTCTGGTCACAAACAGCCTGATGGACAGATAGATGATCAATGTACAGATAAAAAAAAAAAAACTACTAAACTAAATAACAGGGGGGAGAATATCCATCCAGGCTGGACTGTCAACAATTATCCAGAGTAAACAAAACATGTTTTATTTCTTAAATAAATGGTTGTCAGAAGTATTAAATTATCCAGACACAATATTTTTATTTTTCCTCGCACCAGTTGTTTGTCAATCATACAATCCAGGCAAGGAAAAACTATAACATGCCATTATTTTATGCATTGGGTACCATGCCAAAGTAAAGATGATACCAACAAACATAAAACCTATTTTGTTTATGATCGACCAACACAAAGCTGTGCATCAGCAACAGGGAAGAAAACAACTCATAGTTTATTGGTGCATTCAGCTCCATTATATTCTCTGGTACCCCTAAATAAAATCCAGTGCAGTCGGTAGATTTAGATATATATTATTCCAGAGCGTCCATCTTTGTGTGATTTAAAGGTATAGAGGACAATCTTTTATTTCTGGGTGGAGCATCTACAGGTGCTGGTCATAAAATTAGAATATCATGAAAAAGTAGATTGATTTCAGTAATTCCATTTAAAAAGTGAAACTTGTATATTATATTCATACATTACATACAAACTCATATATTTCAGATGTTTATTTTGTTTAATTTTGATGATTACAAATGACAACAAATGAAAATCTCAAATTCATCATATCAGAAAATTAGAATATTACTGAAGACCAATAAAAACAAAGGATTTATAGAAATGTTGGCCAACTGAAAAGTATGAACATGAAAAGTATGAGCATGTACAGCACTCAGTATTTAGTTGGGCCTCCTTTGGCCTGTATTACTGCAGCAATGCGGCGTGGCATGGAGTCGATCAGTCTGTGGCACTGCTCAGGTGTTATGATAGCCCAGGTTGCTCTAATAGTGGCTTTTAGCTCTTCTGAATTGTTGGGTCTGGTGTATTGCATCTTCTTCTTCACAATACCCCATAGATTTTCTATGGGGTTAAGGTCAGGAGAGTTTGCTGGCCAATTAAGAACAGGGATACCATGGTCCTTCAACCAGGTACTGGTAGCTTTGGCACTGTGTGCAGGTGCCAAGTCCTGTTGGAAAATGAAATCTGCATCTCCAAAAAGTTGGTCAGCTGCAGGAAGCATGAAGTGCTCTAAAACTTCCTGGTATGTGGCTGCGTTGACCCTGGACCTCAGAAAACACAATGGACCAACACCAGCAGATGACATGGCACCCCAAACCATCACTGACTGTGGAAACTTTACACTGGACTTCAAGCAACGTGGATGAAGTGCCTCTCTTCTTTTCCTCCAGACTCTGGGACCTTGATTTCCAAAGGAAATGCAAAATTTACTTTCATCAGAGAACATGACTTTGGACCACTCACCAGCAGTCCAGTCCTGTTTCTCTTTAGCCCAGGCAAGACGCTTCTGACGCTGTCTGTGGTTCAAGAGTGGCTTGACACAAGGAATGCGACAGCAGAAACCCATGTCTTTCATACGTCTGTGTGTGTGGTGGTTCTTGAAGCACTCACTCCAGCTGCAGTCCACTCTTTGTGAATCTCCCCCACATTTTTGAATGGGTTTTGTTTCACAATCCGCTCCAGGGTGCGGTTATCTCTCTTGCTTGTACACTTTTTTCGACCACATCTTTTCCTTCCCTTCGCCTCTCTATTAATGTGCTTGGACACTGAGCTCTGTGAACAGCCAGCCTCTTTAGCGATGACCTTTTGTGTCTTGCCCTCCTTGTGCAAGGTGTCGATGGTCGTCTTTTGGACAACTGTCAAGTCAGCAGTCTTCCCCATGATTGTGTAGCTTATAGAACTAGACTGAAAGACCATTTAAAGGCTTTTGCAGGTGGTTTGAGTTAATTAGCTGATTAGAGTGTGGCACCAGGGGCCATCAATTTTGAACCTTTTCACAATATTCTAATTTTCTGATATGATGAATTTGAGATTTTCATTTGTTGTCATTTGTAATCATCAAAATTAAACAAAATAAACATCTGAAATATATGAGTTTGTATGTAATGTATGAATATAATATACAAGTTTCACTTTTTAAATGGAATTACTGAAATCAATCTACTTTTTCATGATATTCTAATTTTATGACCAGCACCTGTAAGCAAGTGGTCCTCCTAATTGTCAATCATTCTGGTGATATCTTTACAGATGGCCATCCTACGTGCTTGTCACCAGTTAGCTATCTTTTTCTTAACTGAGTTTGTTACTAAGTCCACTATATAGTCCCAGCTCTATATAGTGATTGAGGGCGGACGTTCGAACACAGTAAGCTTGTATGAGCTATGAGAACAGCAACTTTTAAACAGAGCGTGCATGAGGAGAAATGGGCTCCTGCATGCTCTTGCACGCGTTTAATAGGTGTTCCCTCTCAGGAGCAAGTACAGGGCTGTGCATGGGCTTTTTTCTTTTAAGTGGAATTTAAACAAAAATTTGCAAATATTTCCACTATACCCTTAAGCTCAGCAATAATCCAGCAGTGGCAGAGTAAGATTCAAATAATATGCCAAACATTGATCATCTTCTATTAATGTGAAAACTTAAGACAACTTTCATTGTCATTTTGTATACAGTTTATACAAAACGACATTTCGGTTTGTACAGCTTTCATAACATTTCCGTTCCTTAAAGTGCAGCAGTGATCAAATGTAAACAGTGTGGGAGAAAAATAGATGATGCAAAAAAAACGCATTAATATGGAAGTTCAGAACATTAAATATGTATGGTGCAAATATGCAGTTGTTTTGGATTGGTCTTGTCAGTGTGTTGCAGAGTCAATGACATGATTTAGAGTTTTCTGAACAGTTCAGTTGTCTGATGGTGTTGGGGAAGAAGCTGCTTCGAGAAACCTGCTGGACATGCATCGAAAACCTGAGAGTAGAAATAGCTACTTTCATACAGAACTGCAAAGCTAACTGGGGCCTTCTCTCCTACACCGACAGGCTGGTCAAGGATAGCATTAATCAGAGTAGCAGCAGGGGGGGGGGCTAATGGTGGCTTTGTAGGAGCTGCAGATTAATTTGCCATAAATATTATTGAGATATAATTATCTATGAAATACTTTTCGGTTTGCAAAACTTGCACAGATATTATGAAGAGGGTTGTAATTCAAAATATGGTGGTGGTTAAAAAGAAACAAAAAAATCTAATACATTTATGGTTCTAGTTCTATGAACCCAAAACGGAAGCTGTTCAAAGGGATGCTGCACATCATCCATGGAGGAACACCAACCTAGATCATAAAGACAGGCGGACAAAAAATAGCAACAGTAGTGATGGGATGGATATCAGAAAGCACAGGGAAGATGTTGGAAGGTGAGGATAAAATGGATGGAGCTAAACACAGAAAAAATCCTTTTAAACAGTATTGGAAGGTGAACCTTTTAAGAGGTAACCTTAAACATCCAACCAGCATTTGTGTTTTAGAACGGTGTAATCAGAGTCCAGACCTTAATCCAACTGAATAACCTTTAGCTAAACGTAAACATCAGTGTTCACAGATTATCTCCATCCAATCCTACTGCGCTTAAAATAAATAAATAAATAAGGACTAAAACTCTTTGGGACTGATATTCAAAGATTCGAAAATGGGACAATAAATTGCCCCTGATATTTTTATTAATTTGTTTTTTTTGTTTGTTTTTTTGCACTTGCAACAAGTAGACATGTAACTGGTCTACAAAACTGCTGTGCAAATTTAAAGAAGTGCAAATCGGTTTGGCTCCCTCATTAAAATGAGAGGATTGTGTTTGATACTGGCAACGTGAGAGCGTCCATAAACGATAAGGATCTAAGCCTTGTAATGGTAAAAACAATGATCAGACAAAGGTAAAAAAAAAACTAATTGATTAAAAACCTCAAGTTAAAATATATTTTATTTTTTTTAAACTTAGAACATGAAAAACTTATTTGTCTTCTAACTGACGCCCAATCCTAACACCTCCCCAACATAGGTGTTTCTCATACGAGTTGCTGTGTGTGGGTCCCACGATACTACAAGGCTAACCTTCTAGCTACACCCTGCAGCAAAAGATTGCTCTGCAAATATTTTTTTAACTAATTCTTTTTTCCACAACACAAGTACATTATTTTATTATGTTCTATTAAAAAATGTCAAATACACACAGTTATTTGCGGTCGTGACCTGAAAAAAATGTCAGAATGTGAAAATATTTCAAGTGATAGATGAATAGAATGCATTTACAAGGTACTTGAAGTTATCCATGCTGTGTGACATGAAAGAAAAATCAGTTAAACCGGAGCATTTTTCTGGACAAACATCTGGAGGCAGTATGGGGTTACACAACAGGCTCAGTGAGGCTTCATAGAAGCTAAAAAAGCGGAGAAAAGCTACAGGATGCTCATAATTACTGTGACACGGAGCTATTATGACATGTTAATAAGTTTTCCTGACCTTCATGCTACCATTTAAGTAATTACATGAGCAGTGATGACTTTTAACGTGATTCACGTGCCGCAGGGCTTCCAAAGAGCCGGGAGCACAATACAGGACATGACAACTTTAAACCCTGAAACATGCTTTTAAACCTGCAAGGTCGTGGCTTACAGTTGCATTAAAATGCATTTTTTTCAGAGCTTTGCTGCTGTGCAAAGGCAACACAGCCTTGCTGTAAAAGCCTGCTGAGTCAGTCGATCTGGTAGAGATTTCAAAGACTGCTTCCCCCAGATGTTTTCTGCTTTATAGACAG